CTGTAACCAGATAGCGACAAGATTCGGATCGATATCGTACTTGTTGACGTAAAAGTAGTTCATATCATACGTCAACAAAACCGATACCGATTCGAAAATTGTCGCAAATTGGTTACAGAATCTGTCGCTAACTGGTTACAGAATCTGCCTACAAAAATGATATCGTCCGATTCAGCTGGAACAAAAATGCTTCAAACAAGTAAGAGTTTCTCTGAATTATGGCCTCGAACCGACATATATACATCTTTCATTTGAATCAGTATTAAAAGCTCTATTGGCTCGTAGATTCGGGTTTTGATAGGCGAGTCTCCCCTGAACCGTTTTTTTCCATATTTTTGGCCTATGTGCGCTTTTATTCGAAACCTAAATGTTTCGGTTCCGAGTACCGAGAGTATTGGATGCTTAAAAGTATTTACTCAGCAAATCACTACTGCTGTCATCTCGACTGTGACGTCAGCAAAACAGCTGATTCTGTCAAATTCACTGAGAGCCGATTAGCGGTATTGCCATCGGCGCCACCTTCTGTATTCTCTCCACCGTGATTGTGGCACATGGTTGGATTTTTTGTCGACGATAATTTGAATGAACAATTTTGTTAAATTTAGAAAATTTACAAACTTGAGCGATTTTAAAATGAAAAATGTAAGTTAATACTTGTTTACTTAATTAATTTAGTTAATTTCAATGATTTGAAAGGTACTCGGCTGAAAAAAACTGTATTCGTAATCCGAATACAATCTCAACCAGAGTCAATATTGGAAACCCGACAGTTACTACCAGGGACGTGAACCGGTTTCGAACCGAACCGGGTTTGAACCGGAAAACCGCTCTTTTCTATTAATTAACTGAACCATTAACCGAACCGAAATTTTCCACAAATGTTTGATCCGAACCAAAAACCGAACCACTTTCTATAAATATTGAAAGGTTCGTTTCAACCAATTTTCAATAAATAAATGTACCCACTTTTTTTGTTTTTGGTAAACATGGTAATACCCACCATGTTTGTTTACCATGCGACAATATCAAATGTAAAGGCAACCCATCTCATTTGACAGACAATTGATAGTTATCCCACAGTTTTGCTTTACATAGAAATTTGTGCTGTTTTTGGAATTTAAATAAGTTCTCAGCAAAAAAAAAATATAAAAAAAATACATATGTATTTGTACATAGTAGGGCTGTGCGATTAATTGATTACTCAAAATTTTAATTAATCATAAAGTAAATAACTCAATTATTCGATTAATTGGAAATTATGATTACCCAAAAGTTCAGTTACTCGAGTAATCAAGATTTTTGATTAACCAAAAACAAAAATATTTGAGTAATTTGCTTTATGATTAATCAACATTTCGAGTAAAATGAGTAATCAACATTCCAACTCTTTACATATAAAGTAGTTTAAGTTCCTTGATACTTTGAAAACATCGTTTCTGTTTTCAAAAATTGAAACGAAAAATTTTTTTCATATACAGAATGTAAAAAATAAAATATGCATTTTCCAAAGCAAACTCTTTTAACGAGCAAAATTATTTTTCTTGAGTAATCATATTTCAATTAACTCGATTAATCATCGTTTTGAGTAATCAAAATCTTGATTACTCGAGTAATTGATTAACCGAATAATCGAATAATCGCACAGCCCTAGTACATAGTGCTTGAAAATATCAATTTTTCCCTTACCTCAAACCTTTAAGCGTGGGCAACAATGATGTTTTTTAGTTAAGGCAGAATTGAATATGCGCTATCTGGGAAGACAATACCTGTAATATTTATACCATGTGTTGGCACTATATCCAAACACAAACGCGTGTTAAACAAACAGAGAAACAATTTGTTATTTTTTAAGTTTGCGAATTAAACTTCACACTTAAATTTAAGACATTCATAACAAACATTTTTTGAAGAAAATCCCCTCAACGGCCTAAAAACGGCTAATTTTTTTTTACAAAACGGCTAACAAATCGACTGCCGGCTAAACCGAAGTTTCTCCGGCTGTTTGCTATCGCAACCGGCTAAATCTAGCCGGAAAGCGACTAAAATGGCAACACTGTATTTTATACAGAATTCACATTTTTCACAAAATTTTCGCGAGCGGTGCGGAAACTTGACCGAAGCGGTTAAGCGGCGGCGGAAATTTGACAATGCATGGAGTTGCATTTATCTACAATGCGGGGTAAAATGAGTAGCGGCGACATCTGTTCGTGGATTTTTAGCCAAAATAAAGTAAAACGTTTTATAAATTTTTTTATACTAATCAATATTAAATAGCTAAATCCTATGGTTTTAATACACAGCTGAGCAGCGTCTGCCCGGCGGGCGACTGCGCGGCGTATTCGCGTATACATACACTAGGGATGTTCATTTTTTCGATTTTTGCGATGCCGGGATTTTCGGGATGTCGTTGGTTGAATCCCGGGATTCTGATATTTATTATTTTTCAAGGCCTAACATGAATAATTGGATCAATATGGTTTGAGAAGCTTTCCTACCATATAATAAATAATAAGTAAATGGGTTTAGAACGTACTTTTTTGTTTAAAGTGAAACCTATGTCATAAGTAACAAAACGACAGACAGTAATTAAATGTATGTATATGCATTTAATAATACTTTAGTGTGTACATATCTGATAAAGTAATTTAAAAATGCTCGAAAAATGCTCGATGCATAAAAAAGAAGTGAAAAAATTTATTTTCTGGTTGAAAAAAGTTCATAATTCTAGTGGCAGAAATAAAAGAAGCGCCTTAATTCAACCAAATTTGTCTACATTTCTTTTGTTTATCCAAAATTTACATTTTCTTATAAAAGTCTACTTCATAATACACATAATTAACTACATATGTATAAATGGGCATTCCTCTGACGTCATGATTTAAAAAAAACAAACTTTTTTTAAAAATTTTCTTTTTGATGCAGAAATATTCCTAGAGCATCTAGATGCATTTCTGCATCTAAACGAAAATTTTGAAAAAAATCTCGCTTACGTTATTTTGGCGATTAGAGCTCGTTATAATTTCAAAGATATGGTTAATTTCAAAATTTATTAAAAAGATTCAGTGCAATGTAAAAAAAAAAATATGGGTACCAAATGAAATAATTTTTTTGGGTTCACAAGGACGAATAGAAATTGAAAATGCCCATTTAATCTATTTTATTTTTTAAGCTAATAAAGTTAGTCCTTAACATATAATTTTTTCAAAAATAAGAAATGAAAAATTTCAAGGATATTAAAGGATAAAATTATAAAAGGGTATTTTTAATACCAACCCATCCCTTACGGACCAAAAAATTAATGTTTTTTTAACTCTACAGTATCTTCTATTTCATTTGATACCCATCTTAAGTATATTGCACTGAAATTTTTAAATCATTTGTTGAATTACTCATATCTATCAAATTTCAAAATTCTTTTTAAAAATCCTAACGTCAGAGAGAAAAATTAAGACCGCAATTATATTTATATTTGGCCCTTGGTTTGGCGAATATATTGATTTTTTTGTGTGCAAAATTGCCTGCCGCATATAATATATGTAGATTGAGCCACACATTTATAGAAAAAAATGTTAAAAATCAAATAAACAAAAGATATATATCCAAAACTGGTCAACATAAAGCGTTTCTATTATTGCCACCAGTGTAAATTACAAGTCCCGAAAATCCCGGTATTCTAGGCAAATAATCTCGGGATTTTCGGAACTTAAAAAGACCGGGATCCCGGGATTAACATTCCTAACATACACGCTCTGCTTGGGAAGACAGCGAAAGCTTCATTCAACCGCACGACTTGTTCGTACGCACACAGTGACATCAATTGCACGCACACTACAAAAAATTCTCTGCAGAAGCTGCCCACCTCTGTTTTAATATAACAAAATGTTTTCGTCAATTGAGCTAAGATTTTGTAAGTTATTTTGATATTTTTTTATTAGTACTTATGTAACTTTGCAGCGCAAGTGCAACTCCGAGTGTTGTCAAACTTTTGCCGCCTTTTCGGTCGTTTCAAATTAATTTCCCCCGCCCCTCTGCTTGTTAGGAAACACTTGATGCACACTTTTTACAACACGGTTAAAAATTTCGGTTTTAATTTTAAACTTTTTGGACTATTTATATGACCAAACTAAATTCAGTTTCAAATACAAACCTTCCAAGTTTAAAAAAAGCACATATGTTGGGTTTAGAATTTAAACAGTTCGGTTTAAATTTTAAACGCAAACATTTTATATTTCGTCATAATTAAAAAAAAAAAAACTTAAATTTTATGCTGCGTCTGATGGGGATTGAACCCGGACAGCTTTGGTAGCAACCAATTGTATCACCCATCTTTGCACACTCAGCTACAGCCATTCATGTAAATGTGCTTTCATATGTTGAGTTTGAATCAACACCACATTTCGCTGTGTTGATGCCATCAGTTCATAAGCCTAGATTTTAACCAAATTTTCTATATATGAAACCTAGAAACTAGAATGAAAACATTTTGGTTTGATTTTTAAACCACGAACTTTTTGGTTTTAATTTTAAACCACTCGTAGTAAAACATCATTTTCTCGGCTGCCTGGACTAAAATTTAAACCATAATATATTAAAAATTGCTTAAAACTATTGACTGGTTTAAAAAGTACACTATAAAAGATTAAAAAGGCAGTAGTCCTAGCGCGGTTTAAAAATTAAACCCAAATTTTTGACCGTGAAGCAATACATTTTTGTTACACAATTTCGTTAAAAAAAAACACTCACCTTTACTCAATAGATAGCGCCTAAATTTAACTGTGTTATTATTTGGACATTGCAGCACTTATTTTACACACACACACATATTTCAGAGCCTTTACATGCTACCATCCCACGCTTACCGCAACTCCAGTGAAAACACATAAGAAACAATGCCCGGACAAATATTTCACTTATTTGAAAACACTTACAATAAACTTATTAGCAAAGCGCTACAGTTTTATTAATATTTTACACAGAATTGACATTTTTCACAAAATTTTCACGAGCGGCGCGGAAACTTGAGCAAAGCGGTTAAATGGCGGCGGAACTTTGACAATGCACAGAGCTGCATTTTGTGCATTTATGTACAATGCGGGTAAACTGAGTAATGGCGACATCTGTTGGTGAAGCTTGAGCTCATATTAAGTAGAAGGATATTTTACCCGATTTCATTTTATAATGTTCGATAATAGATAGTGCGATCTACGGATTTTCATCAAACAAAATGATACATAATTTGCATTAAATCAAATACATTTTTGCGAGTTATTTTGATATTTTTGTTTATTAATTAGCAATTAACTTTGCCGCACGAAGGCAACTCTGGCCGTTGTCAAACTTTTTCCGCCGTTCCGGTCGTTTGTCATTAGTTTCCCCTTCCGTGTGTGAAAATTTTAGTTGCTTTTAGTTATACATATTGTAGAAAAAGTCAAATTGTTTCAGAGTTTTGTGCTAAAATTAATTGTTTTCTACATAACGTAACAGCTGTGCATGTTTTCTTTCGAATATAACGCAAATCTTACTTTAATATGTGCCTGCACTTTGTGTTCATAGCAATTGTTTTAGTGGCTGAATGCAATCTAGAAAAAATGCCAGAAAATGATTTCTAAGAGTAAAAAGCAAATAAAGACAAATAAATTTGTAAAAGTTTCCGGCACAATCTCTATGAAAATCCTTCATCTACGATATTTTAATAGTCATTAATAACGCAAGTATAAAATTCAAAGCCTCGTTATTTTATTTTACTCACTTATAAATCTATAAATGCACCATTTCAAGAAATTTATAAATGCACCTTTTCAAGAAAGTTTTGAGATTTCCTCAATTAAAAAATACTTTATGAACATTAATAATTCATCTCGTTTTAAATATCAATCAGCTTTCAACCCAAAGAAGCACGCACTTTTGCATTTTCCACATTAATATAATTCTCTTGCACATCCTTAACCATAAAATCTACTAAATTATCCAAATCGTAGTTATGCTGCCAACCCCAATCGCGACGTGCTTCAGAATCATCGAAAACTTGCGGCCACGAATCCGCAATCGCTTGCCGACCATCTGGCTTATAGGTGACTTGTAAATTTGGAACATGACGCCTCAGTTTAGCAACTAGCTCTTCAGGTGTGAAGGACATTGCTGTAACATTGTAGACGCGTCGCTTCAAACTCCCCGAAGGGGCACACATAATTGTATGCAGAGCGCTGCAAGGATATGCAGATAGGTAAAGCGCATGATAATTATTAGTGGGTGAGAAATAATCGTTAACATACCCGTGTCGTTCAATTAAAGTAGCCTAAATCGGCATAGGCCCTTTTCCCTTTAAAGCAGCATTTCATTGGATTCCCAAACAAAGTTTAACTTTTAACTAGACACCTCAAGTTCTTGAAGCCCTTTTAATAGAAACTTAAGAAAAATAAAAAATTCTATTTTTAGCACATACCAAATGATCAAACTTAAATAGCAGAGTAGCTTGATTGTAGTTGACTTAACAAATGAAAACGTGGAAAAAGCAACAACAGTTTACGTGGCAAACTTAGCTCATTGGGTAGTTGAAGAAGTGTGATGAGGAGATGTGTTGATCTCCGAAATAGCTATAACTTCTGCCAAAAATGTACACTGCCGGAACAATGTATTGGCACAGCAAGTTTTTCACAATATATGCAACAATTTTCATTCTAATATTTTTCCGCTAATTTCGTATAAAAATATGGTTCATTCTACAACAAAAAAAAAAAAACATAAAAATATAATGCCTAAACTTTGTGCAAAACTGGCGAAAACTCAGCAAATTTTCATGAAAATTTTCAAATTTTTAATCATATTTTTAAGAATTTTTTTTGGTATGCAGATTTGTAGCCCAATCAATTTTATTTCAATAAAGTGCAAGATTAAAGTGGCTAGGAATTACCGTTGATTTTTGCCAATTTTTTTACGCAGTCTTCCATTCCACAAATTTTGTTCGAAAATATTTTATATGGAAAAAATGCAAAACACCTTCAACAAAAAAAATTCTCAAAAATCAACGCGATTTTTTACTAACTCCGAACTTGCATTTTTTTACTAGAATTTATTGGCTGCAAAACTGCATACTCAAAAAAAATCTAAGAAATCTGATTAAAAAGTTGAAAATTTGCTGAATTTTCGCGAGTTTTGCACAAAGTTTAAGAATTATATTTTTGCGTTTTTTGTTGTTGAATGAACAATATTTTTATACAAAATTGGCGGAAAAATATTAGAATAAAAATTGTTGCATATATTGTGAAAAATTTGCTGTGCCAATACTTTTTTCCCGCAGTGTAAATAAATTGTGTTTTTTTTTTTAATTGTTCAAAATAAAAAAAAAATCAAGGGAAACTGATTATTTTTTAATTCAAAATCAAACCTAAAGTCACTTGAGCTACTTTAATTGAACGGCGCAGATATGCTACTGTGAACAAACATGTCTTGGTTTAATATAATTTTTGTGAAAACGCTCGTAATACGGTGCTACAAAAAAAGTCATGAAATACACCCGATACAAAACCTAGTCTGGGGTTGTAGTATGGTCGAGTACATGATGAAAATAGGCCCCGTATAGTTCCTGAACCCTTTATTTTTTATTCCAAAAAAAAACGTCATTTTCGTACTTGATGTACTTATCTATTAAACGCTCAACTATTTTCCATCCGATTTTAGAAATCGAACAATAAGTTTTAGTAAATATTGATGAACTCCTTAGCCACACTGCTAAAAAAATCTGCACGTCAAGGCCTTATTTTTGCTTAAATTGCTCTATTTCGACAGTGTCAGTTTATTCGAAAATAAATTTTCTTTTAGATAAATACCACATATTTGGCAACTTTCATAGAAAAAATTAAGAAAAATAAGGGCACATTAAAATTTAACCGATGAAAACTCCCAACATGCTAAGTTTAATAATATACTGTTATACGTAGTTTTAAAGGTATAAATCCTCTTTTCAAAACTTGATCGATTTTTAAAATGGGATGGAAAATAGTCAGCTATTAATAGATAAGTGCATCAGGTACGAAAATAACGGTTTTTTTGGTATAAAAAATTGAGAGTTCAGGAACTATACGGGACCTGTTTTCATGTTGTATTCGACCATACCTATAACCTAAACTAGGTTTTGTTTCGCGTGTATTTCATGACTTTTTTGTAGCACCATGTAATTACTAGTCTACTCAAAATATTTTCGACTCACCGGAGACAATCCTCAATGTACATCATCGGTAAACGCGTATCAGGGCGTAAATAGCAAGTGTATTTGCTTGAGCGTAATGCTTCGTGAAATATGGCGACAGCGTAATCTTAAAGGAAGAGAAGGTAAGAGCAAAAGAAAAGAAAATTCATAAAATATATTGTTTTTTTTGTAAATCTTTTTTTTGTCTCTATGATATACTAATTAGACACAATATATTCGATTTTTATTTTTAAGGCCTATGTTTATTTACCCTTCATGAAAGTTTGTCAAATATTATTATATTTTATGTGTGTTATTTTATTAGTTTTTAAGTATTTTTTTGGATTCTACATTTGCATGGCTTTGTTTTGTTCTTTTTCAACAAAGGGAGCCTGAAACATATTTTTCCTTCTCTATTTTGCGCCTATTACTCGTATTCACTTAATTGAACTGGGTTAAACTCATTGTGCGGTAAATTGGTGAATGCGCCGTATCTTCAATATAATCGCTTTCGTAGCCATAAGCGTCAGTCTTTTTGCCCTTCCTGCTGCTATTCAATTATTGAAAATTGCGATACTTAAAGGGGAAATTGCACATTTAACAAAGTGAAAACAATCGCAAAAGATGCACTTTCTTTATTATGATCAATGATGAATGGAGCTTTGCTTACAAATGTACATACATGCATACATATGTGCATTTGTTTTGTGCATAATTGAAATTTATTGTTTAACTGCATAGATATTTTTTGTGCGAAATTGTAACAAATTTTGCTTTTGTGCTATTTTGTCTATTCGATTTTACTCTATTCTATTTTATTTTAATTTGTTTTATTTTATTTTATTTTATTTTATTTTATTTTATTTTATTTTATTTTATTTTATTTTATTTTATTTTATTTTATTTTATTTTAATTTATTATATTTTATTCATTATTCACTATCTTAAATTTTTGATCGTTTAGTGATCGACTTTTCTTTTCCATAGACACTATGCAGTACTCACCAGTGGTGCCACCGCCAGGTGGATCGCTAGAAATTACACCCGGGAAACGCAAGCACCTAAAGTCCAAACCAAACTTGTGGAAATAATACTCGCCCATTAGCTCGGCATGCACCTTCGAAACACCATACATAGTACGTGGACGTTGAATCTATGAAATGAAAGGTGAATTAAGTCAAGGAAACGGAAGTGAAAATTATAAGGTACAATACATGTACATACATATGTACATGCTATATTTCATGAACTTAAAAACCGTTGGCAAATGCATTTTTTTAACAAAAGAAAAATGAATAGAAAGTGTTGCATTTAATAACGACTCACCGTCACATTTGGTGTAGGATTCCGTGGACTGTCTGGCCCAAATGCGCCAATGGTGCTCGGTACAAAAATGCGTAAATTGTACTGTTTGGCAAGTTCGATGACATTATGTACACCTTCGATGTTGACGCTGAATTTTGGTAGAAATAAAATTATGTAGTTACGAACATATGTATGTTTAACAGTTAAATGAATAGCGTGTGCGCCAATAAAAAACATGAACGAATCGCAGAAATTCAGGCGGTACAAACAATTTCTTTTTCGGGAACCAAAGAAAATTGCAAACAAAAATCAAAGTATTAAATGCAAGTGACATACGAGTAAAGTAAATGCAAGTGGCATATGTACATTCGTAGGCATGTGAGCAGACGACATGAAATGAAATTGCTAACAACACGCGATTAACTACTTCTACAAGTATTTGGTAATATATTTGCGTGACTAAGTGAAAGTCTTCCTAAATTATGACATATAATCAACGCGCAGACAAATAAAATAAAAGCTTACAAATCCAAGAAATAATGTAAACAGTGCATTGACAAAAAAAAAAAAGAATTCAGAAATAGCCGTACTTGGCAGCCATACTATTGGAATGCTAATTTTACCAGTTATGAGGAGCACTTACCGCACCGCCAACGGCACATTTTGCTCGCCTATCGCGCTCAATAACGCTGAGAAATGTATCAGCCAATCGACGCGATGATCAACTACGATCTTTTGTAATCCTTTGAAATCTAAAATATCAGCAAATATGTAGGGTCCACTCTCCACTACTTGCTTGCTGGGTTTAACAATGTCTGAAAGTATGACACTCTCATCGCCATACTGGGAGCGTAAGCGTTTGGCGCATTCGATGCCTAGTTGGCCGAGACCACCTGAGAAAGAAAAGCGTATTAATTAAGGATATTAGTGGTACATGGCTTAAACGTATGTAGTTAAAGCAACAAAGCGTAAAATATAAAAAATTTTCTGTTTAGAGTTTGTATAATTTGCTAATTTAAATCTTTGAAGTCGTGAGGGAAACATTTTTTCCAAAAAAGGATTATGTGCATTAGGGTGATCCTTAAAAAATATGGAAATCTATATTTTGTATGGGACACCCCTTCATTGAGTTCTATTTACTAAATTAATACTTCAACGAAAATTTCAAAATGGTAGAACAACTTTTATGGGTCGCTACTAGAGCTGTTAATTTTTTCGCTTTTTACGATACCGGGATTTTCGGGATTTAGATATTCATTACTTTTCGACAACTTAAATCGAGAAAATTGCGTCTATATTGTTTGAGAAGCTCTCCAACCATAAAATAAATAATAAATACATGGGTTTGAAACCTACTTTTTTATTTAAAGAGGCGTTTTTTATTTTTTCTCCCTGACGTCAGAATTTATTTTAAGGGACTTTGTAATTTCAAAGATATGATTAATTCCAAAAATTATTTAAAAAATTCAACGCAATGTAGAATAAAAATATGGGTACCAAATTAAAGAGGAAATTTCTTTAGAATTTAAGACAATTAAAATTTTTTGGATTTACAAGGACGAATAGGTAATTTTTTAAGTTGTTTAAAATTATAAGGACGAAATTCGAGGATGTTATCGAGTTTATATCAGTCCGTAAGATATAATTTTTTCAAAAACAGATACTGCGAAATTTCAAGGATAAAATTTTAAAAGGACATTTTCTATACTTACCAGTCCTTATGCACGAAAAAGTTTAATCTTTTTAAATTCTTCGGAATTTTCTCTTTAATGTGATACTTATACTTATTCTATAAGCACATTTTACTAAATTGTTAAATCATTTTTGAATTACTGACGTCAGAGTAAAAAACTTAAAACGCAATTTTACTATATTTGGCCCATGGTTTTGCGAATATATTGATTATTGTGTGTAATATTTACTATCGCACGGTGTTATACATATGTATAATGAGCCAGACATTTATAAAAAAATATTAATTATTAAATAAAAAAAAAGAAATATAGCCAATACTGGTCAAGAAAAGGATTTTCTGTTATTGCCATCAGTGCAGTCCCGGGATTTTTGGTACGTCAAAAAGGCCGGAATTCCGGGATTAACATTCCTATTTGCTACCAAGGCTTGAAAAATTTAACTTTAGAATGGTAATCCTCATTGATTTTACGAGTGTATTTTAATTTTTCAACCATATTGCACTAAGCGTCGTGCTAAACTTTGCAATAACTGTTAAATAAATAGCAATAAAAAATTACATACAAAAGTAATTATCCGTTAAATGTAATTATTCGTTAAATATTCTAAGTGGTTTACCTTTCTAGGAAAAATCTGATCAATTTGGCACATTATTAAAACTATTCATATAAATTCACAGTCATCGCCAAATTTACTCATCATGCAATATTAAGCGCAAAAAACTTGTTTTTTTAGTTTCTTTCGGAATACTAAATTGCAGCATTTTTAACATTTTCGTGAAAACTAAATTACACAACAAAATTAACTTGAAAGAATACCAAGAAACTCAGGTATAGGAGAGAATAAATATGAACTTTCTAGGCTCAAAACGCATTTTTTAATTTTTTGATAACAAAATATGTCAAATTGTTCCAATTTTAATATTTTAATATTTTCAAATCCTGGTCGAGATCGTTAAAATCATTTTCCAATTTTGAGATTGTTGTGAATGCCTTTACATTACATGTTGATATTTTTAAGGGCCACCCTAATGTGCAAACATACGTATGTATGTATATGTACATATTCGAAATAGTTTGATGAATTTTGCGATTTTAGTTGTAGATTAGGGTCCTTTAAGACCAAAATAAAAATATTTAACTTTTTTTCAAAAACTTTGGACCACGTTAACCGATTTCCATAATTCCTTATTTTTTATCTCCGATCCCATATTAATTTGGTTTAGATCCGATCATTTTATCATGCACAATTTAACGGTGCTCTTAAATTTTTGTATAAGAAACGAAGTCGGTTTTGTTTTGAATTTAAAAATTACTTGTTGTTTTTAAATCTTGTAAATTCTTTTTAAAAAATATTATATGTATTACTTTTATTTACAAGTGAAATTGTAGTTTCTTACTTGAACGATTTAAAATTATTATCCCTTAATTTTTATAGTTTTTTTTCAATCTTAAAAAGTTTTTTTTTTGATTCAAATGCGCGTATGTACAAAATTAAATTACAACAAAAAATTATGTGTATTTGGCACCAAAATAATTAAAGAGAAAATATTGGCACAAAATATTATTAGCCGAAAAACTATAAATTAAAACAAATGTAAAGCATAAAAAGTTAAATATAGCATATTCCAATATGAGCCATATCAGGCGTCTTTCTCGCATGTTTTTAAATGAATGCAACCTGCTGAATTCATTCTGAAAACTTTGTATTATTATCTTCGTTCGTTATACTAAATTAATATTCATCAAAAATTTTTGAAACTATTTTGCGAATATCACAATTTGCGAGCCATAGTACTTTCAAAATATACGTGTTTGATTTTTTTTTGTTTAATCTACGTATCAGAACACAAGTCTTCCGTCTAAGCATTCAAGGTTAAAAATAAAATTATTCAGAAATATGAAACACGCAAACGAAAAAATTGGCAGCAAAATTTTTTTCCACACGCCATTTCACACGTGTTTTACCGGTCTGAAAAAAGATTTAATAAATGTCCTCGTAGAGTTTTGTGAACCTTAGTTGTTTTAAACTTTACTTTCATTTATGTATTCAAATTTTGTATATTAAAAATAAAATATCAATTTTCAGCACCGCGCGATTTCTTTATACAGTAATAACCAATTTTATTGTTGTTTCTCCGAAAATATTATGTAATTGACTTACCGGTTATCAAAATTTTCGGTGGTCGACTTTTACTATGCTGAGCGCGTTTATTTAGCGCCTGACAGACGATTGGCGTTAGGCACGCTGTATTATTAGTGATCTTATTTTGCACGAAAGTCGTTAAACACTTTCTCAGCATTTTCTTGGAGGAGAAATTTCAACTTTAGCAATTTCAAATTTAATAAAGTATTTAAAGTTTCAGATTTTCGTTTAAAATTTGTTTCTTTATTTTATTTTATATTTTATTTTATTTTTGTTTTCTTATTTTCTTGTTTATAATTTTCTTGTTTATAACTTTTTATTTCCATCCAATTTTTGGGAAGAACACTTTTTATACTATGTATATTTTAAATCTAAAGCCTTTTTAATACTCAATCCTTAGATTTTCTATATATAATTTTCTATAAATTCTTTATTACTTCGATGTGTTGAGCAACAAATTTTCCGTGATCCGGCTTTCTCTAAATTTCACCGGCCAACACATAGATGTGTGGCTATCCACTGACTTCTGTTTACTATTCTACCCGACAGCTGCCGTTCTTGATTTTGCTGTTCTGGCAAAATTTGTTACTTCAAGTAAAAAAATAAAAAAATAAAAAAAAAATGTAATACATACATAAATATCTAAGTTGTGTGTTGTTGCCGCCATTGTGTGGAAGATTCAACAAATTTGCTCATAACAACAAAAAGTATTTAGAGATGCATAAGTACATATCGTCGACTGGGTAAACGATTGTCGTAAGCGTCATACGAGCGTGCGTAACATACGACAATCTTTTACCCAGCCGACGATATATGCATGAATATGTTCAAACATTTAAATCAATGAGGAACAATTCGAGACATACATACATATGCACATACTTGTATGTATGTATGTATATTCGCACACGCGCTTGTTTATGAGAAATTGGAGTGTTCGAACGCGTCGCATCATTATTTGCTCTATATTTATTTGAATTTTTTTATTTGTTAATTTTTTTAGAAAGGCTTCGGGGGATATGTCTATAATATTTCGCATAGATCTTCAATAAGCCAAACGGTGCTGTGACTATGACATATTTTATGTATTTCTATATCCACGTAATTTTCGCCGGAATTCTTGATACACGTGCCGCGTGATGCCTTAAATAAAATTGATGGTGTGCCGCGAAAATTCGGTTTTTTAATATACATATTTGTGTATGTACATTAGGGTGGTCAAAAATACGCAAATTCGGAATTTTAATGCCCTCACCCCCTAGGATTGTTCTATATCGAAATAAATATGCCTCTATTTTTTATTTTTTTAATGCGCTCAAAGTTTTCCATGTATTTTATACGGGGAAAAACAACTTTTCGGTGAAATGGTAGAGAATTCTTGAAAATCGATATTTTTCGATCGGAAAACTCTGGTTCTCTTCAGGAGACTTCCAATAACAATACTCAATTGCTTATTTAACCATTTTTTAATACTAAAGATTTTTTAATTACCCCCATTGCATTCGCTAGGGGTTTTGGTGGACCTATAAATTATACTAGTAAAGATTTTTTGATTTCAAAATAAAAAGGTAGAGGTATTTTTTTTCGATATAGAACAATCCTAGGGGGTGAGAGCATAAAAATTCCGATTTTACTTTTTCACATGACTTTTTGGACCCCTCTAGTGTACATATGTATGTATGTATATATATATATATCTATGGATTAGAATTCCATATACTTACACATACAGTTGTATTCTTGACAGGGACGTGAACCGGATGGAAAATTTGGTTGATTCGGTTCAGCGGTTCGAACCGTTTTCGTCATTTTGGATTGGTTCGTCAAAGCGGTTTTTTTCGTTCCATGAACCGGGGTTTCGGTTCGGTTCGGAAATCAAAAAAAAAAACTCACAAGTTTAACTGCCATATCTAAACGAAAGCGTTGGGCGGAGCGTTTTCTGACGTCTAGCTTTAACGCCGAAGTGATAGACCTAAACAAAAGTGTCAACGCTACGTCAAATGCAGAAATAACACCAACAATAAGCATAGGTTTGTTTCTGTGTAACACGAAAATTAAAGTTTCGCCGTTTTTTGCAGCCAACTTCATTACCAAGGTGAATTTATACATGGTGGTGTTAATGGTGAATTTAGATTTTCGCCGCGGTACTTCTTAATGTCAAAATGATGTGTTTGTTGTAATATGAATTCGCTTTACAACAAACATATCATTTTGACATGAGTATGTACCGCGGCGAAAATCTAAATTCGCCATTAACACCACCTTGTATAAATTCACCTTGCTTCAATACCTAACGCCCTGTCAAAATCGGATTTTCCAACCGCTCAGCGTTGACGGCGCGTGAGAATTTTTTGACAGCCAGCTGTTAAGTGTCAAGTGTCTGTCAAATGAGATGGGTTGCCGGTTGCCTTTACATTTAGTATTGCCAGATGGTAAATAACATTTAGGTATTTAACAAACAAAAAAGTGGGTAATTTTATCTATTGAAAATTGGTTGAAACGAACCTTTAAACCTTTATGAAAAGTGGTTCGGTTTTCGGTTCGGATCAAACATTTGTGGAATCTTTCGGTTCGGTTAATAATTCAGTTAATTAATAGATAAAAACGGGTTTCCAGTTCATAACCGGTTTGGTTCAAAACCGGTTCACGGCCCTGATTCTTGAAGTCTAGTGTAGTATTAAACCGCAATACTGACACGTTCTTCTATATAATTGATCAATAAAATGATTTCGGCATCTCAAAATCCTGCTTCAAGGCAAATTCATAGTGTTGAACCCAAGTTTTGTCTGCAGCAACAGTCCGGCTCCTAAATTCAACCCTCAGATTCAAAAACTCTGGTAAACCCTTGCTGATATAAATCGCCGGGGCTTGATGGCATTTAACCGGAAGAATTGCAGCATTCATGGGTTATTAGCTCCCCATTCATCGGAGTCATTAAAGAAGTCTCCTTCATACCCAAGGAAGGTAGGTCCTCTCACATTAATCCTACAGACTTCAGACCTTTTAGTCTCACGTCATTCCTCCTCAAAATTTTAGAGAGGACAGTAGATGAATACTTACGGGACGTGATACGAACTAGTAGGCTCTCCCCAGCGCAGCATACCTACATTCGCTTGTCTGGCTGGAGGAAAAGAGCTTATCAGATAAGGAGACATAGAAGGTGCCTTTAATAACATCAATGCAATCGCCATTACGGGTGTATTAGAAAATTTTGGTGTTGACCCTAACGGGGCTGCTCTGATTGAGAATTTACTCGGCAGGCGGAGGATAACGGCTAAGTTAGGCAACACTACCCCAAGCAGACAGGTCTGCAGAGGCACTCCTCAGGGAGAGGTTCTCTCCCCTCTTCTCTGGACTTTGGCAGTGAACTCCCTGCTGCTGACCCTAGAGAGGGAGGTAGCCACTTCACTGCCTATGCTGACGACCTGGAAATTGCCGTTAAAGGCAAATTCCCTAATGCAAATTTTGTGCTGTTATATGATCACGCTTAGAAACTGGACAAAGTAAAAAAAAAAAACCATAAAACTGAAGTAATTCTCTTAACAAGGAAACATAGGCTATTTGAAGTCTCCCCGCTAATTTTCTAAGTTGTGAAGATCCCTTTGAAGGAGAATGTTAAAAATCTAGGACTCATATTAGATATGAAGCTTACGTGGAAAGTTAATATAGTGGACAGAGTCAAGAAGACCAACGTTGCATTACAAGCGCTCAAAAGCAAATGGGGCTTACACCTCGCATTACTCACTGGCTTTACACTTCTGTAGTCAAGCCTATACTGCTGTATAGAGTACTTGTATAGTGGCCATCAACTCAAAAGACAAGTTACCTAAAACTCCTGGGAAAGGAGCAGCGTTTTATGCATCTCGGGTGATTTAAGGACCACGCCAAACAAAGCGCTAGAAGTGTTAACCAATTTGCCTGCAGTAAATCTGGTAGGGAAACATGTGGCCGCCGCTTCGACTGTCAAACTAAAAATAATGGCGCCATGGAAAGATCGGCGGTTCGGCCACGCTTCTATACTCCATACTGTGGGTAGTTATAATCAAGAAATCGACTACCCTGCCCCTAACCCACCTTCGACAGGCTCTTTAAGATGAACATCCCGTCAAAAAGAGAGTGGCAAATACCAAGATCGTGGAGAAGGGGGAAACTTAGTTTTTGGCTCGGAGTTTTTTTCTAAAGAATTAGAACTGGAATCATCTGCCCTAGTTCCGGACCACAGCAGCATTTATGAGGCAGAAGTTGTAGCTATAAACGGAGGTGGCTGTGTACCTTAATACACATGCCGTAACGAAGACTACGATTAATACCATCTCAGGTCATGATTTAGCCATCAAACCAATGAACGCGGTAATACTAAGATCAAAGATTGCACCGGAATGCCTAGCAGCTGTAGATGATATTAGCACCGCCTTCAATATCAGCCTCATATGGGTTCCGGGACATAGAGATATTGAAGGAAATTGCAGAGCCGATGAAAAGTATAAAATTAACACCGAAATAAATTCGGTGTAAAAGTGTTATTTTTATTACATCGCAATAACGCAGAACGAGAATTAACCTTCAGGAAAGATGCCAATCTTCCACTGTGTGAAAACAGATGTAAGATTGGGATACTCATGGCAACCTGCAAATTATAGATTAGAAATGGCATCATTCAAGAGGCCATCTATAGTTTAGGTTTAACGTGGGAACCTACCGCAATTTAATGCAGTTCAAGCTCCACGAAGCTCAAAAACTCAACGGATTAATTTATGCCTTAATCATTGCCCTGAAATGCAAGAATTTCAGTACAAATGGCAGTGTGGGAGGACACACTTACCACCTTGGTAAAGCCGAAACCTACCTAAAATCTCTGCCCTTCTATGGGTCCCGGCACCCGGTTGAAATGGAACTCCACATTGAACCCTTGCGAGTTCTACCCGCATTTAGATATTAAACCACAGCCCCAGCGATACTCTCCAAAGGGGCCGTACCTCTTTGAACGGACCGGAGTAGTGCTCGACCAGCTCGACTCACGCGACTTACTAAACTTACCAGAATATACATGCCTAACCCTACAACTATTTAGACTTGCCATTTTGTCATCCATTAAACCTAACATGGGCATCTGTTCCCCGCGGTCCCAGGTTTAAGTCTGCGTTAAGTAAGCATGACCACGAAAGCCGTAGACTCTTCTGCCAATTGAGGCTCCTCCAACCGACTCA